AATTTAACCAATACACCGCCCGATAACCGCCCGATAATTACTAATCCGGTACAGAACCGACCGATATCTTATTGGTTGGCTAACCGATTAGTATATTTAAAAGCCAATAATCGATACGCCGAACCGTTAAGCATAATTATCCGCCGATAAGCAGCCCTACTTGTCACGACCCCAAATCCCAGCCACGGGGTCGTGATTGCGCCTAACGTCCACTTTCTAGGCAAGCCAACATTAGTTAACCATTTTAATAATTAAACAGTTCAAAACAGAATAATAACAATTATTAACGAAGATTAAAGCTGAAATATATGAAATAAACCCTTAACATAACACGGTCTAACACAAATCCCAGAAGTCTGGTGTCACCAGTACATGAGCAACAAGAAGTCTACAAGTATAGTTTGAAATAAATACAATTGTCCGAATGAGATAAATAGTAAATATAGGAAATAGAAGGACTTTAGGGTCTGCGAATACCACCAGCTCTACCTCAAGTCTCCGAAGCAACTATGATCCGAGCACACGCACCTCTAAGCATCACTGGGACCAATACCAGTCTCTGCACAAGAAGTGCAGAAGCGTAGTATGAGTACAACCGACCTAATATACTCCATAAGTGTAGAGCCTAACCTCGACGAGGTAATGACGAGGCTATATCAAGATACCTATGTAAAAACCCCGTGCATATATATATATATATAAAGCAGCAAAATAATAAGTAGAACGACAAAATATTAACTGAGAGGGAACATGTGAAAGGGAAGATATCATAAAATGGCAGGTATGAATCACAAATTAACACCTTACGAAATAAGCAACAATATAACCAAGTAAATCACAAATCCGAGAATCAAATGAGGTAATGAAATAAAGATGGCACAGCATCACCCTTCGTGCTTTTACTCTCGTCCTTGCCATGTGATATTATAAATAAAAAGGCACGACATCACCTTTCGTGCTTTATTCACGGGCACGGCGTCACCCTTCGTGCTTTTACTCTTTTGATCTCTCAAAATATGATAATGAATGCAAATAAGGCACGGGAACACCCTTCGTGTTTTTCACTCTTCCTCACCAGTCAACAATACAAATCCAAATAATAAATGCAAAGGGAGAAACAATTTCACTTCAATTATAGAGCCATGATAACAGACTTAACTTCCAAATTCCAAAATTCCCAACATCTTCAAAATAAACATTAAATATAAGGCTAATAATTAAAAGTAATAATCTAACCTAAGTATGGAGAACAAAGTCAAATAAACAACTTAGAATAAGAAAATAATTCCCACCCGCACGCATTGGACCAATGACAACGCATATGAACTCGTCACCTCACATATACGTCATTCCCGCACATAATTCATGTAGCAAATAAACCAACAAGTCCTAATCCCTCAAGTCAATGTTAACCATGACACTTACCCCACTCTGCAAGCAAAACAATCAGTCAACCACGGCTTTGCCTTTTGAACAAGCCTCCAAACCAACCAAATCTAGCAAATTATCGATCAAACGGTTCAAAATAAGCTTTAGAAACTACCCATTAATGAAAAAGGTTCAATTTTGATCATTTTTAAATAGTCAACAATAGTCAACCCCGAGCCCACTTGGTTAAAACCCGATGTTCGGACCAAAATCTGATTACCCGTTCACCCCTGAGCCTGGTTATGTGATTTGTTTCGAAATCCTACCTCAATTTGAGGTCTAAATCTCAATTTTACAAAATCCCCAATTTCTACCCAAATCCCTAATTTCTACCATGAAAATCCTAGATTTGATGATAAAGACACATGAAAAGTAAAGGGTATTGAAAAGAAATGGATTAAAGTTGTTTACCAATGATTTTGGGAAGAAAATCCTCTTGAAAAATCGCCACTAGAATATTTAGGGTTGAGAAATGCTGTAAAATGAGCCAAGTTCCAATTTTTTCCTCTTTTACCCATCTGTAGGTGTCGCATTTGCGAAGAAATGTTCACAAATGTGATGCCCGCAAATGCGAGACAAAGGTCGCAAATGCAAACCCTATCTCAGAAGCATCGCAAATGCGACATTTAGATCGCAAATGCGTAAACCCCACCTTCACAAATGCTGCAAGATTCTTCGAAAATGCGAAGATTACCCCTCGGAGCACCAAGTCACAAATGCGACTCTAAGATCGCAAATTCGACCTCTAATTATTCGCAAATGTGAACTTATTCCTTGCAATTGCGAGATCACCCAGCCCAGGCCCCTACTCACAAATGCGATCTCTTGATCGCAAAAGAGAGGCACGCATTTGCAAGCCAAATCTCGCAAATGAGAGATCTGCAGACTACACCAGCAACAAAAATGCACTAGCTATTCAAACTTCAACCAAACTTATCCAAAACGCGTCCAAAACTCACTCGAGCCTCTCGGGCTCCAAACCAAATATGCACACAAGTATAATAACATCATATGAACTCGCTTGTGCGATCAAATCACCCAAATAACATCTAAAACTATAAATTGAACAGCAAAACAGATGAAATTTCAAAGGAAAAACTCAAGAACAACTAGAATCACAACTAAGCATCCGAATCATACCAAACCAACTCAGCTTGACACCAAATTTTACGGACAAGTTTCAAATAACAAAATGGACCTATACCAAGTCCTGAAACCCAAATCCGAATCTTGTAGTTATAAAGTCAACCTATGGTCAAACTTAAGAAATATTTGAACCTTCAAGTTACTAGCTTTCGACAATACAAGTCAAATCAAGTTAGGGACTTCCAAATTCAATTTTGGGCATATGCCCAAGTCCAAAATCATGATACTGACCTACCGAAATCGTCAAAATACCGATCCGGGGTCGTTCTCACAAAATGTTGACCGTAGCCAACCTAAGTTATTTTTAAAGTCAAAATCATGTTTTCTTCAAACTTTCACATAAATATTTCCGGAAAAAGACACGGACTGCGCACGCAAATGGAGAAATATCAAATGGAGCTTATAGAGGTCTCGAAACACAGAAATAAGGGTTAGAATTCAAAATGACCTACCGAGTCGTCACATACCTGGTGTCTTTTTCCCATATTTTCACGGCATATGTAGTTACGTGACTCTTTTATTTTCGGGATTTTGGTGCGGCGTGATAACATACTCGCCGAATTAGCAGAAAAAATTCCAGTTATCGATATCGGCACCATGTAGCCAATAAATGTATACGCAATAATATGTGTATATCAAAGCGTATATCGTAACTTTATTTTCCTTATTTGTGTATATCAACATGTATATTAAAATTTATTTTCCTTCTTATATCTAAAATATGAAATTATAAATATAATCTTTTAAATTTTATTATTTTCTCTATATTAATGTATATCACAACAAAAATATTTATATTGTTTGTATATGGTAGTGTATAAGTGTGTACCAAAATGTATATCACGAGATTCTTTTCCTTCTTTGTGTATATCAAAATATACGTCAATAATTTAAATTCCTTATTTGCCGATTTTTATTATATGTTGTTATCTCTATCACAAGTTTATCTTCCTTTGTGTATATCAAGATATATATCAACAATTTATTTTTATTATATGTGTATCAAAATATATATGAAAATCTTCTTCGTGTATATCAGTGCATAACACATAATTTTTTGTATATATAAATAAATATATATGTTAGAGATACATTGATATATAATATGAGAATTAAACTATTTTTTAATCGGAAAAAAGAGGGAAAAAAAGAATGAAGTTTTGGACAATGCCAATTTTCGGGGGAAAAAGTATATCGTAAAACCTAATAGTATGCTGTGCTAAATTTATGAAATGCTAAAAAAAAAAAAATTGGCACTGTAATACCCTATTCTAGTAGGCGAAACCTAAAGTAGGAAAGCAAACCTCCATCCAGAATTTAATGTTGCACTAGCGTGTGAATTGTTAGTAAACTGACAATGAAGTATGTTTTGTTAGAAAAATTAGAGAAATGAGAAAAGGAGAACAATGTGAAATTTGAATTCCGTTGTTTTGAAATTATTTAAGGCTGTGCCTTCATTTGCTACATTTTATAAGTGAAAATAAAATGAGACTATCATACTCCGATCTTCACTTTTTGTCACGACCTGAAAATTCTACCTTAGGGATCGTGATGACACCTAGTCCTACGACTAGATGAACCTATCACATGACAACCTCATACATGATATAACAATTTATTATTAAATAAAATTGAGAAAAATGGTCCAAAACATAGCCAATATTAGAATATAACTTTCACAAGCCCAAAATCCTGTAATACAAAGTCATAAGCTCCACGGAGAGTGAGTACACAAGATATTCCAAAATAAAATATTATTTTGGATCGCAATTTGAACAACAGCATAAATGAAGTAAGATGGTGACTCCGAGGCCTGCAAACGGAACGGCGGGTGTACCTTTAAGTCTCAAATTGCACAGGCACAACTCTCAAAACCAACAAAATCTGAAGTACCTGGATATGCACAAAATGTACAGAAGCGTAGTATGGGCGCTATCACACCTCCTTTTTTCGGGAAAGGAGTTTTTTCACTTTAAGTGACGTTATTGAAAACAGATTATTTATCTTACACTGTATTTGGATTATTGTTCCCTATCGTTTTATAATGTATTGTATTGTATTGTACTGTACTGTATTGTATCGCTTTGATGGATACAACGTTTGGATAGACTGTATCATTTGCTGTTATTAAATAACATCTTTATTGTTTGGTTTGACTGTACTGTACTGTATTGTACTGCTAAGTTTACTAAAATACCCTCAATTATCTTAAACAAGATATAAATATAGAAAAAACAAATGTAAGAACATACTAAAACATGTATTCATGTGAATAACATTCTCCATTTTGTTTTCACATCCAAAACCATTACTTTTTTTAGTTCAAGGATGTTGATGCAATATCACTCCTAATATTATTAAAAGACAGAAAATATTTGATAGTATAAAATTACAAAGAGCTCTAATATAATCTAAACAACAACATTTCATTGTCCGTGTCTTGAAAGTGACAAGCTGAAGCTCACAGAACTACTTCCAAGGAGTTCAGCAAAAATGCAACCAACAGACCATACATCAATGGAAGTTCCATAGTTGTCACAGCAGAGCAGGAGCTCTGGTGCCCTATACCAGCGCGTAACAACATACTCAGTTATGAACTGGCCCTTGCCATTGCTTGTACGTGCAAGACCAAAGTCACAAATTTTTAAATCACAGTAAGCATTGATAAGTAGGTTCCCAGGCTTCAAGTCACGATGAAGAATGTTTGCAGAATGGAGATACTTCACACCTCGAAGCAACTGGAATAGGAAATACTAGCAATAGGTAAACCTTTAGATGAACTCAATCCACATAATTCAACAGATAGAAAAGTAACTCCATGAAAATCTGAAAATGAGGAAAAAATAAAGAAAAAGATGATATTGTTCCATATCTCAAAGAAATTAAATAATTCCAAACTGAAAATTCACATGAAGTGGAATAATGCGAACTCCATTTCTAACTCAGTTATCCACAGTCAATCTCTCTTGATTGCCCCATCAAAACAGAGTAGACAACGGACCTTGATTTCCTGACATTTAATGTGGTAAATAATCCATAACTTAAAGTGCATAATATAATAAAAATTTCTAGCAACATGACATATAAAATTCATATCGATCTAGTCAAAGTCTAAAAAATCCTCAATAGCTAAAGCACAAAAAATATTTAGTCTAACTCAATTGCCAGGTGACGACATCAAGGGCAGTAAAAGAAATTTGCGGTCTTCCAATGGACACCCAATCAGTGTGCGGCACAAGTCTGCATGCTTGCAAAGAAATATATAAGCTTTCATGTGCATACTAGGCTCTAAATCCAACACTTGTACCATTTGCCATATCTCACTCTCAGGAATAGGTGGCATAGTTGAAAGGCGTTTAATTGCATTAGCGAAATTATTCATCCCACCTCTCAACATATCAGCCATGCCTTCAAGATGATCATGTTTAGATTTTTTATTCCTGCTAGAAGTCGGTACCTCTGAATATGCATTAGATTTACGTGCTTCCTGAGTTGATTGATATTGTTCATGTTGTCCATGTTCCTCGATATTCTCCAAAGAGGCAGCATTCATGGAAATTAGTTCATCTACCTCATCAATAGTCAATGAACTATCACTTGATTTTCTCAAATTATTACGAGCACCCCTTTTTACCATATCTGCTCCAGTCTCGGCTTGCTTTCCAGTAGCTCTATTGTCACGCCTCGAACCTGGGCCTGGACGTAACACGGCACTCGGTGCCTGACTACATGTGACCGAGCGAACCAACTGGCTGGCTGAATCAACATGTGGTATCATAACATACTGAATGCGGAAGATAAACTAACACATGCTGATATACTGAAAGTCTGGATGATATAAATCAAAGTGCGGAAATACTAATACAATTATGAAACATATTTGTAGCCAACATAGCTTAATATGGAAAGCCTGTGACTCTGTCTAACTGTTACTCTAGTCTATGAAGCCTCTAATGAAATACTGAAAACACTGATTGTCTGAAAATACTGAAGACTGTAAGGTAATGATAATGCCCCGAAAGAACTGGGGATCACCAAACAGCTGGTACGAGAATCCTAGCGCTCTGAATCATCAACCTGTAAATCATTACCTGCATTGTGAGATGCAGGCCCCGGGCAAAAGGGACGTCAGTACATTTGAATTGTACTGGTATGTAAAGCAACTGAAAGAAAGAATTATAAATGTTGAAACTGAAACTAAGCTGATAACTGAAATGATAACTATTGAAACTGAAACTGAAGTGAGAACTGGTAACTGAACTGATAACTGAAAAGATAACTGATAACTGATAACTGAACTGATAACTGAAAAGATAACTGATAATTGATAACTGAACTGAATAAAGGAAGTAAGGATATGAATACTCCCTCTTCTGAATGATGAACAACCTGTTTATCTGAATAAGCTACGGCCTCGGGCCCAATATATATGTGCACAAGCTACGGCCTCATGCCCAAGTATACGTATACATAACTACGGCCTCAGGCCCAAAAATGCATAAAGCATAAACTACGGCCTCAGGCCCAAACATGCATAAAGCATAAACTACGGCCTCAGGCCCAAGTATGCATAAAGCATATAAACTACGGCCTCAGGCCCAAATACAGGTGTTCAACATTCAGGAATTTAAAACCTGAAACTGAGAATCATACTGCAATACATGATAGTGAAATACTGAATCACATTGAGTTACATGATACTGGAATACTGGATCATACTGGGTTACATAATACTGACATACTGAATGGGACTAGACTGAGACATGTATTCTTGAACTGATTATGAATACTGAAATTTTAACTGTATATGGCATACTGAGTAATCTATACTAAGACTCGGGGGCATCAAACCCAAGTCTATATTGAATATGAACTGAGCTCACAACGTTCAGAATGAAAGTCATGGGCGAGTTATGAAGCTAGAGAATAGAAGTTCTACAACTATTCAAGGAACTAGGCTTAACTATATTTCTGAGGCAATTGGTAACGTCGTAAAAGAAACGTAGTGTAGGGAGAATCATTAAAATTCCCAAACATAGAGAGTTAGCCTCACATACCTTAACTTCCTACTCTTGAGCGTAATAAAACATTCGCCAACCCTTTCAACTTTAATCTATATCAATACAAGTCAAAGGGATTCCATATTAGCATAAATTCTCATGTTTTAGTCACTTAGGGATTCCATATTAGCATAAATTCTCATGTTTTAGTCACTTAAATATTTTCTCAAACACTTGGTGACATAAAGCTTCATGGTCCTTATTAATGGTGTTTCTACACCCAACAAGCCATTTTCTTGATCCTAGATAAATTCTAAAGTCTCAAACGGTTATAATAAATGTCATTCTTCTTCACCCATAAGATAAACAACACCTTTAACCAATAATCCACAACCAACAAGCCAAACCTATAATTGTTCATGCTTTTCTATCAAACCCATCAACTCATATCTCATGAACTATGGTTTAAAATCATTAAACCAATGCTATAATCAATTAGAGGTTGAAGACATTACCTTTTTGAAGTTCAAACCCTTGAATTTCGAGTTCTAGGCTTCCTTCTCTCAACAATGATGTCCCAATCGAATATCTAATGATATGGAGGGTTTACCCATGTTAATAAGATGTTGAAAAATTGAAATTAACTTAGAATCACCATTAAAACTTACCTTGGGTGGTGGAAGGACCCTTAAGGAGTTAGGTTTTTTAGAGTTCTCCTTTATAGAGCAAGTTTTTATGTTTTGGGGATGTGGGGAACGAAGTAGAACCTCAAAATAACCACCCCACTAGCGCTCCCACGCACCTGGAGGCCCAACTCGTGCTACTGGCCGCGCTAAATGGCCAGAACGAAACCCATTAGCGCGGGCGCGCTAGTGGGCGCGCATATGGCGTAGTGTTCTGTAAAACGCGCATAACATTTTGCACAGATATCCATTCAGGCTCTATAATATATCGTTGGACAGCTATTTCAAAGGCCTACAACTTTCATGCTTTGAGTTTTCTCAAATGCCTTACACATTTTCAATAAACACTGATGGAATACAGACCTTCTGCAAACTTAGTCGATTTTGTCAAATCTTATGCACCTCACTTTCCATCTTGATTTTGAAACAACTATTTTCACCCATAATCATCTTGATGGGACTTCACATGATCAAAATATATCCTTACTACTCCTTTAACTCATTCATACCTAAGCCGAATTTGCGGGGTGTTACATTATCTCCCCCTTGGGATCATTCGTCCTCGAATGATTGTCTTGACTGTAACTTCTGCTAACTCCGGACCTTAAATGAGTCTGGTGCAAACATGAACTTTAATTAACACTTGTATGCTAAACTGAATGAATACATAATTACTGAACTGAATGACTACTGCATTGACTGAATATTGGTCTGCCATGGATACGTGAATACTGAACTAACATAGATACATGAATATTGAACTGGCACGAATATTTGAGTATTCTGAGTACTAAGCTGGAATGAATGTCTAAGTATTGGACTAACATGAGCAGCTGAGTATTGAGCTGACATGAGTATCTGAGTACTGAACTAACATGAATATCTGAGTACTGAACTGACATGAGTATCTGAGTACTGAACTGACATGAATATCTGAGTACTGAACTGACATGAGTATCTGAGTACTGGAAACTTGAATGTGATAACATGACACGTGAAATACTGGTTGTACCACCACTAATTCTGGTGGCAACTCCAACTCATAAGCTAATTGACCGATCCTTCGCAAGATTCTATATGGCCCAATATAGTAGGGACTATGCTTTCCCTTCTTCCCAAATGCTCTGAGTTTTCTTCAAACGCTCTTGAATCAACTTAACTTTCTCTATAGTCTGATAGACCAAATCGGGTCCTAACAACTCCACTTCTCCAACTTCGAACCAACCAATTGGTGATCTACACCTTCACCCATACATAGCTTCGTACGGTGCCATCTTGATACTAGAATGGTAGGTTATTATTAGCAAGGTCAATGAGAGGTATGTGATAAAACACTAGGCTTTCTGCTGCTCGACTTTCACTTGCTGATAATTCGGACACTTGGACACAAAGTATGCAACGTTCTTTTTCATGTTGCTCCACCAATTAATATCCTTAGTACCATGATACATCTTTGGGGAACCTGGATGGAAAGAATACCTAGAATTATGGGCTTCTANCTCTTAACATCAAGGACATATCCTCAACTGTTTAAATAAAATGCTCTGCCTGGCCATAAAGTTTACGACGTTCTTTTTCATGTCGTACAACCAATTAATATCCTTAATACCATGATACATCTTTGGGGAACCTGGATGGAAAGAATACCTCGAATTATGGGCTTCTAACATGATCTTCCCTCTTTAAGTCCATCTATGTCTGGAATCTGTCTTGGTACGTCAAAGTACCATCATCTCCCCTTATTCAAAAGCCATCGTTTTATACTTGTGAATCTCCTCTTTCAACTGCAACACGTATGGATCATCAAATTGTTTCTCCTTCTCTTCAACTACTAATGGGGAACACGTCCTGTTCTAGACAACAACGCCGTCATCTTCGGAGTCCGAAGTCGAACTCCTATCTTGGTTGGTGAACTTCTTTCACCAGAGTTCTGTTATCTACCTCAATCATGAGTTATACTTCTCACACTTTATCTTCTTAAGCACTTCCTGAAAACACTTATAGCATTATTGTGACCTAAGTCTTTGACATGTACTCTAAATTTTAGAGTCCCGTGCAATGGCACTACCCTCATAACACACAAATAGGCATGATTTTACAGCTTTTCTGTGATCACTTTATCATCAATAACTAAGCTCGGTGATCATTCTAATCACCTTGTGTTTCTTACACATGCTAGACATAATCCTTGTTGTAATTACACAATTTTTCCTCATTACCGAACTGATTTTCTTTTTCATATCCCATGCTAACTATTCGAGTTTCAAATCTCTAACTGGACTTACTGAAAATTTTCACATTACCCCTTAGACCAAAGGTCTTATACTTGTGGATCCTTCTCTTTTTGTTGGGATCCAAATAACTTTCCTTATTTTCTGCAATTCTTTGCACTCTACGTCAATGACGACTCATCTTCCTACTAACTTCTGAGAAATCCTTCTTACTAGAAAAAAACTAAATTATTCACTTAACGGAAAGCTAATGTATTCACAACTATCATACACAATCTTAATAATTTAACTCTGCTTACACTGTCAATCTTGGAGAAATCCCTTTTCAATTACTCTTAAAGGCTATCCTTCTGTAGTTTGCTCTCTTACTGCTAGCTAATTTTTTTCCACTATCGCTGTACCTCGGGTTTAACTTAAGCTCTTTGGGTTACTAACACACGATCGGTATTTCAAACTGTCATCCACTCACTATAGTTAACCTGGCTAAGTGCATCAAATTGTACCTCTACTAGCTCTGCTGAAATTGCTAATTTGTTGTATCTACTCAAAACTTACTTAATAATCCTTTTACTAACCACCTGCTAGCATCATATTTTCTTCTCCTGTTTTGAATAACTAAAGTGAAGCATAAGGTTACTCCTAACTTCCCTCGTCATCCGACCATATTCTTTTGCCGCACACTATTATTCTTTTTGAACTATGTACATGGATCACAATTAGGGAAATTTCATCTGTCTTAAACAAAATTAGAATATCTAACCCTGAACGTTCTATAAAATACTCAATCATATCATACTATAAATATCCGCGGTAATCATTTGGTCACATAACCTAAGGGGGAACTGCCATATCTCTTATCTAACATCAATAACTACTTCTTATAGTAGCTTGCTAACGTGGTACTTCTAGTTCTGATTTGAATAAATCTACACAACTTAAAATCATTCCCTGAAATTCAATATTGGCTGCTCTTTGTTCTCATTGCATACATCATATCTTCTAGTCTTTTGCATGAGTTGTACGAAATCACATCATTGGTAATAACAAACGTTTCTGACTCCTAGGTATTTTACCCTTAGGCTCTTTTCTGTCCAAACTATAGTCACCAATGTTAGGGTCTGTGTGACGACCCAATGGGGTCATCACTTATTTATTACCCATTCTGTACATCCGAGGCCTTAAAAACCTCCTCACGGGTTGCCTCGATTTGCGTGCGTAGTCCAGATGCATAGCCGGAAGGCTTAAATATGAATTCTATGAGAAAAATGCTAGATTTTGATATTAAATTGAATAAATTTGACTTCGGTCAATATTTTTGGTAAACGGACCCGGACTCGTGATTTGATGGTCCCGGAGGGTCCGTAAGAAAATATGGGACTTGAGCGTATGCTCGGAATCGAATTCCGAGGTCCCGAGTCCGAGAAATGAATTTTTGTGTGAAATTGTTTTCTGGAAATAATTAAGGAAATTGGAAATGAAATTTGATCAAAAGACTGTGGTACCGGGCCCGTATTGTGGTTCCGGCGTCCGGTACAAGTCTTATATATGATTTAGGCACTTTCTGTAAAGTTTGGTTGAGAACGGACGTTGTTTGACGTGTTTCGGACCCGAAATGGGAATTTTATGTCTTATGAAAGATTTGAGAAGGAATCATGAGCTTTGAGGCTTGATTCGATGTATATGATATTATTTTGGCGATCTAATCGCACGGATGAGTTCGTAGGGTGTATTTGAGGTTGTGTGTATGTTTGGTTTGGGGCCCCGAGGGCTCAGGTGAGTTTCGAGTAGGTTCTGGGAGGTCTTAGACTTAAAAACACCAGGTATTGCAGGTCAGGAAAAAAATTGCAGGCTCCAGCTCGGCCGCGGTCGTCCTTGCGCGGTCCGCGGGGCCAACTTCAGAGAGCCAGCAGTCTTCATTTTCACCAGCGCGGCCGCAGTCCTTTTTGCGCGGTCCGCGCTGGGGCTTCAGAGGGTATAAAAACACGGGATTTTCAGTTATTTTCTCACTTTTCAAAAACCCAAAACATAAGAGGCGATTTCCTAAGCAATTCTTTTTTTTCAAAACGATTGGTAAGTGATTTCTGACTCATTTTCTTCACTCCTTAACACCTTTTAACATCATTTCAATGTCAAATCGAAGATTTTAATGGGGAAATTTGGGTATATTGGGTAGGACCTAGGGTTTTGCTAAAATTGGGGGTTGGACCTCAATTTGAGGTCCAATTTCAAAACTAATCACATATTTGGATTCGTGGGGGAATGGGTAACCGGATTTTAGTTCGAACTTCGGGTTTGGACCACGTTGGCCCGAGGGGCGTTTTGGTCATTTTATCTAAATTTGCGTCTTAGCTTCAAATTGAATAGTAAAATCAGTTGCTTGAGATGTTATTTACGAGATGTAATTGAAATGAATAGATTTAGGCCATTTGGAGTCGGATACTCGTGGCAAAGGCGTGGTTTCTAGTTGATATTGAGCCGGTTCGAGGTAAGTGGCTTGTCTAACCTTGTGTGGGGGAACCTTTCCCCTTAGGATTTGTTATTTGGTAGTTGAGTGCCTTGTACATGAGGTGACAAGCGCGTACTTGAGCCAATTGTTGAAAACCCGGTTTACTTAAGATATTGAGACTGAGCTTCCTTCATATTTGCCTTACTTTACTTGCAATTACCACCTGTGTTCGGTTAGAAAAGCATGTTAGTTGATTCAATTTGCCTAATTGTTAAGTTGCCTTGACTGTACTACGTGAAGCATGCTAGGCTAGTACTACCTGTTGCTTGTCTTCGTACTTCATTTCTGAGTATCTTCTGGTTGTGGTTGCGCATTTACATTGGGACTACGGATGTGGGATTCCGGTAGCTCCCCCCCTTTGTTTGTTTACTTTGGGACTACGGGTTCAATTCCCGGTAGATCCCCCTGCCCGTTACTTTGGGAGTACGGGTTCGATTCCCAGTAGATCCCCCTGCACCTTTACTTTGGGACTGCGGGTTAGATTCCCGATAGATACCCCTGCACATGAGATGGACTACGGGACGGTATCCCGGCTGCACATGAGATGGACTACGGGACGGTATCCCGGGAGATCCACTGGACAGTTGAGAAAAGGGCTACAGGACGGTATCCTGGGAGATCCTCATTGTTATCATTTGTATTGAGTTGTACATATTCCGTGTTTACTCTGTTTTCCTTGTGCAGTTGTTATTGCATTACTTGACCTGTCTTATCTCACTGCTGTACTCATTATTACTGTCAGTTCTTTATCTTGTACATTTGTTATTATATTTTATCTCAGTAGGGCCCTGACCTTCCTCGTCACTACCCAACTGAGGTTAGGCTTGGCACTTACTGAGTACCGCTGTGGTGTACTCATGCCTCTTCTGCACATGTTTTTAATGTGCAGACCCAGGTACTTCGTCCCAGGCGCACTACCCTTGAGGTCAGGAGAGCTACGGAGACTTTGAGGTATTTCTGCAGTGTCCGCAGGCCAAGGAGTCTCCCTCTTTACTCTATCTGTAGCACTTAGCATTTCTTAGCACTTTTGTTTAGACGAATTCTGGAGATTAGAGCTGTATGTTATTTCCAATAGCTTGTGTTCCCGTGAGTTTCCGGGTTTTGGGGTATTGTAGTAGTATGCCGTGTGGCAGATATATACAGGTTTTCTTTAGTTGTTCAGCTTTAATTGATTATTCTCGCAAGTTATGTTGTTGTTCCGCACTGTTAGGCTTACCTAGTTGTAGGAACTAGGTGCCATCACGACATGTTCATGGAGGGTGAACTGGGGTCGTGACAAGTTGGTATCAGAGCTCTAGGTTCATAGGAGTCACGGGACACAGGACGGTTTATTAGAGTCTCGCTGATCGGTATGGAGACGTCTGTAGTTATCTACGAGAGGCAATGTAACTGTTTAGGAAAATCTTCATTCCATTTGAATTCCTTGTCGTGCGATATTCTTGGACATCAATTCTAAACTTCTGACTTCTATTCTCTCACAGATGGTGAGGACACGTGCTACTCGAGATGGTCAGGCACCCGCACCCCCTACTGCAGCCGTCAGAGGCCGGGGCCGGGGGAGAGGTCAAGGACGCGCACGTGGTGCAGCCAGAGCATCTGCGCGAGCTGCCGTCGAGGTACCACCAGCAGATCCAGCCGGAGCCCAGGCACCTGGCACACCTACTACTGCCATTACTGCTCCAGCTCTCCAGGAGACTTTGGCTCAGTTCATGAGCATGTACACCACCTTGGCTCAGGTAGGGTTGCTTCCCCTTGCTGCAGCCACATCCCAGGCCGGGGGAGGAGCACAGACTCCCGCCGTCTGCACTCCCGAGCAGCGAGTGCAGGTTGAGCAGGCTCCCGAGTTTATTCCCGCACCGCCTGCAGTGCCAGTTCAGCCTGAGGATGGGTCAGCTGCTTCAGAGGACGAGCAGCGGAGACTTGAGAGGTTCAAGAAGTATGATCCCCCAGTGTTCAGTGGATTAGCATCAGGCGATGCCTTGGGATTTCTAGAGGAGTGTCATCGTATTCTTTGCACTATGGGCATAGTGGAGTCCAGCGGGGTCTCTTTCACTGCTTTTCAGCTTCGGGGAGCCGCCTATGATTGGTGGCACACTTATGAGATAGACAGTCCAGTCGACGCTGCTTCACTGACTTGGACCTAGTTCCCGGATATGTTCATGAGAGAGTTTGTCCCCCAGAGTCTCAGGGATGCATGGCACGCAGAGTTTGAGCATTTGCGCCAGGGTGCTATGACCGTTTCGGAGTATGCCATTCGCTATACCAGGTTGGCCAGGCATGCACCGGCCTTGGTTGCTACAGTTCGGGAGAGAGTTCGCAGGTTCATTGAGGGCCTTATCCCACCCATCAGGTCTAGCATGGCTCGAGAGTTGGAGATGAACATTCCTTATCAGCAGGTAGTGAGCATTGCTAGGAGGATTGAGGGTATGCTCGCCAGGGAGCGAGGGGAGAGGGAGGCCAAGAGGTCTCGAGAGTCGGGTCACTACTCTGGTGCCCGTACCCCAGCAGCAGGTCGTTATGGCAGAGGTTATGCGGGTCGCCCTGTACATTCAACTCTTCCAGCAGCCGGCAGTGCTCCAGCTCTGCCTACACCTCAGGAGCCTTACTATGCACCTCCAGTTTCTAGCGCGCCTCCTGCGCGGGGTGCTTCCAGAGGCCAGTCCAGCAGACCTGGCCCTAGCCAGTCACAGCCACCGCGTCCTCCCAGAGCTTGTTTCGAGTGTGGTGATACACGCCACATGGTTAGGGACTGCCCCAGACTTGGTAGGGGTGCATCTTCACAGACTGCTCAGCCACAGCGTGCTCCTCAGAGTTCTCAGGCCATGGTCACAGCTCCAGCTGCTACCCCACCTGCCCAGCCGGCTAGGGGCGGAGGTCGGGGAGATAGAGGTCGCCCTCGAGAGAGGGGCCGGGCCAGATATTATGCTATTCCTGCTCGTACCGAGGTTGTTGCCTCCGACTCCGTCATTACAGGTATTATACTGGTTTGTCACAGAGAGGCATCGGTTCTATTCGATCCGGGCTCTACTTATTCTTATGTGTCTTCTTACTTTGCTCCGCATTTGGGTGTGCCTCGGGATTCTTTGAGTGCCCCCGTTTATGTTTCTACTCCTGTGGGGGATTCTCTTGTTGTGGACCACATTTATCGGTCATGTTTGGTTACTATTCGTGGTTTTGAGACTAGATCGGATTTATTGTTACTCGGTATGGTGGATTTTGACATTATTTTGGGCATGGACTGGTTGTCGCCCCATTTTGCTATTCTTGATTGTCACGCCAAGACCGTGACGCTGGCTATGCCAGGTATTCCGCGTATTGAGTGGAGTGGTACTTTAGATCACACTCCCAGTAGAGTTATCTCTTTCCTTAAAGCTCAGCGTATGGTTGAGAAGGGGTGTGCCGCGTATTTAGCTTATGTGAGAGATGTCAGTGTTGATACCCCTTCTGTTGATTCAGTTCCAGTGGTACGGGATTATCCCGATGTGTTTCCAGCTGATCTTCTGGGCATGCCGCCCGATAGAGACATTGATTTTGGCATTGACCTGTTGCCGGGCACTCAGCCCATTTCCATTCCTCCGTATCGTATGGCTCCTCCTGAGTTGAAGGAGTTCAAGGATCAGCTGCAGGAATTGCTTGGTAAGGGTTCTATTCGACCTAGTGTTTCACCGTGGGGTGCTCCTGTCTTGTTTGTGAAGAAGAAGGATGGTTCTATGCGTATGTGTATTGATTATCGTCAGTTGAACAAGGTCACAGTGAAGAACCGTTATCCTTTGCCTCGTATTGATGATCTGTTTGACCAGCTTCAGGGCGCACAGGTGTTTTCTAAGATTGACTTGCGCTCGGGTTACCATCAGTTGAAGATTCGGGAGCCAGATATCCCGAAGACTGCCTTCAGGACTCGGTATGGTCATTACGAGTTCCTTGTTATGTCATTTGGGCTGACCAATGCCCCAGCAGCTTTCATGCATTTGATGCACAGTGTGTTCAGGCCATATCTTGACTCGTTCGTTATTGTCTTTATTGATGATATTCTGGTGTATTCCCAGAGTCGGGAAGATCATGAGCAGCACCTGAGGACAGTGCTTCAGACCTTGAGGGAGAAGAAGTTATATGCAAAGTTCTCAAAATGTGAGTTTTGGTTGAGTTCTGTGGCATTCTTAGGCCACGCAATTTCGAGTGAGGGCATTCGGGTGGATCCGAGGAAGATAGAGGCCATACAGAGTTGGCCCAGGCCGTCCTCAGCCACAGAGATTCGCAGTTTCCTTGGTTTGGCGGGCTACTACCGTCGCTTCGTGGAGGGATTTTCATCGATTGCGGCCCCTATGACTAGATTGACCCAGAAGGGTGCCCCATTTCAGTGGACAGAGGAGCGTGAGGCGAGCTTTCAGAAGCTCAAGACAGCTTTGACTACAGCCCCAATTTTGATGTTGCCTACCGGTTCGGGGTCTTATACTGTCTATTGTGACGCCTCGAGAGTTGGCCTTGGAGCGGTGCTGATGCAGGACGGTAGGGTGATTGCCTACGCGTCCAGACAGTTGAAGATACATGAAAAGAATTACCCTGTCCACGACCTTGAGTTAGCTGCCATTGTTCATGCCTTGAAGATCTGGCGTCATTATTTATACGGTGTGCCTTGTGAGATCTATACTGACCATCGGAGCTTGCAGCACTTGCTCAAGCAAAAGGATCTAAATATGCATCAGAGGAGGTGGTTAGAGTTGCTGAAGGATTATGATATCACTATCCTGTATCACCCGGGCAAGGCCAATGTAGTGGCGGATGCCTTGAGTCGCCGGGCGGAGAGTTTGGGGAGTTTGGCATATTTACCAGCTTCAGAGAGGCCTATGGCGATGGATGTTCAGGCCTTAGCCAGCCAGTTTGTGAGATTGGATCTTTCAGAGCCCAGTCGGGTTCTAGCTTGTGTGGTTTCCCGGTCTTCCTTAATTGATCGTATCAGGGAGCAACAGTATGAAGACCCTCATTTACTTGTCCTTAAGGACAAGGTGCAGCGTGGAGATGCCAGGAATGTGACCATCGGAGATGACGGGGTATTGAGGATGCAGGGCCGGATTTGTGTGCCCAATGTTGATGGGCTTCGGGAGTTGATTCTAACAGAGGCCCATAGTTCGCGGTATTCCATCCATCCGGGTGCCGCGAAGATGTATCAGGACTTGAGGCAGCACTATTGGTGGAGGCGGATGAAGAAGGATATAGTTGGGTATATGTCTAGATGCCTCAACTGCCAGCAGGTGAAGTATGAGCACCAGCGGCCGGGTGGGTTGCTTCAGCAGATAGAGATCCCGGAGTGAAAATGGGAGCGCATCACCATGGATTTTGTATCGGGACTCCCATGGACCTTGAAGAAGTTTGATGCCATTTGGGTCATTGTGGATCGGCTGACCAAGTCCGCTCACTTTATTCCTGTGTGTACCACTTATTCATCGGAGCGGTTGGCGGAGATTTATATCCGGGAGATCGTCCGTCTGCATGGGATTCCAGTTTCTATTATTTCAGACAGGGGTACTCAATTTACATCGCGGTTTTGGAAAGCCGTGCAGCAGGAGTTGGGTACTCGGGTGGAGTTGAGCACAGCATTTCACCCCCAGACGGACGGACAGTCCGAGCGCACTATCCAGATTCTTGAGGATATGCTCCGTGCATGCGTGATTGATTTTGGAGGGTCTTGGGATCAGTTCTTGCCATTAGCGGAGTTTGCCTACAACAACAGCTACCAGTCAAGCATCCAGATGGCTCCTTACGAGGCTTTATATGGTAGACGGTGTCGATCACCGGTTGGATGGTTTGAGCCGGGAGAGGCTCGGTTGTTAGGTACGGAGTTGGTTCAGGAGGCCTTGGACAAGGTCAAGATCATTCAGGATAGGCTTCGTTCAGCTCACTCTAGGCAGAAAAGTTATGCAGACCGCAAGGTTCGAGATGTAGCATTCATGGTTGGTGAGCGGGTATTGCTCCGAGTATCGCCTATGAAGGGCGTGATGAGATTTGGGAAGAAGGGCA